CTAAGAATAAGATGTTTGAATGAACTGTTATTAATTGGTAAGGGATTCATTAATAATTCCGAATGAAAAATGGTTGCTACTCCTCCTCCTCGCCCTGTACTTCAAGCAATATGATGATTTAAATAATTTGAAGGAGTCGACTCATTTAAGCTAACATAGTCCTCTTGCTGCAGCCAGGATTCTGTGAGGGAGAGGTAAGAAATCTGATTATCACAAATCAAGTCATTAACTAACAAAGTAGACCTAATGTTCAACAACCCACATTTAATTTTTCTAGTTTTCTGCTCAGTTGAATTTGCTCTAATATTTATGAGATTTCCAAGATTTGCTTTATTAAGCCTGATATTTAATCTGTGTGATTTTGGCCGTGGGCAGGACACTGTCTCTATGGTGGATAACAGAACAGAAGCTGCAGAGGGGTGTGTTAAACTATGGCTCTGCTTCCTGGTCTGGACCCTGGGTTGTCATGGAGGACTAATAAAAATGGCCATGTTCCTAGAAAGAAGAGCTGCTCCATCCAAAGAGGGATGGATGCCGTCTCTTCGCATCAGACCAGGTTTTCCCCAAACAGTTTTCCAATTATCAATGTAGCCCACGTTGTTTTCAGGACACCACCTAGACAACCAGCGGTTGAAGGACATCATGCTGCTAAACATGTCGTCACTGGTCCGATCAGGTTTTGATGTTTCTTGTTTCCTGCCTCTGTAATTAGTAATGTGGTTTATTCCCTGCCACATTGCCCTGGGATCGTTGTTTGCAAAGTGATCCTCAATTTTCCTCTTGTAGGCTGCTTTGGCTTCTCTGATGCCTTTCTTTAGTTCTGCCCTCGCTGCCTTATATGCTGTCTGATCACCCAACTTAAAGGCAGTGTCCCGACTTCTTAGGAGAGAATTCACCTTTCTAGTCATCCAGGGTTTTTGGTTTGGGAACACTCTGATCTGTTTGTTAATGGTGACAGTTTCCACATAGTTCCTAATGTAGGAGACTACTGTGTCCGTGTGCTCCTGTAGATTTTGGCTGTAGAATAAGTCCCAAATAGTCGAGGAGAAGCAGTCACGTAGCTGTGAGATGGCTCCTTCAAGCCAGATTTTGATTGTCTTAGTTTGGGGCTTACTTTTCCTCAGCAGGGAGATGTAAGTGGGAGTGAGGGACATACAAAGGAGATCAGATCCAGCCAGATGTGGGAGGGATTTCGCTCTATAGGCACTTCTGATGTTTGAATAAACATGATCCAAGGTATTTTCCCCTCTGGTGCCAAAATCCTCAAACTGGGCAAATTTGGGCAGCACCGCTTTTAGGCACGCTTTATTATCATCTCCAGCAACAATGAAGGCCCCGTCAGGATGCGTAAGCTGTAGTTTAGGGTACTGAGCAGGAGGCTGATGACCATGCTCACATCAGCCTCCGGCAGTATATACACAGCCACCACAATCACTACTGTAAACTCCCTCGGGATGTAAAAGGGTCTGCATGAGACCACCAGAAACTCCACATCGGGAAAGCATTGTGTGTAGATGGTGCGGCTGTTGCAGCACCACTCGTTGTGCACGTAAACACACAGCCCACCCTCCCTGCTCTTACCTGAGTCACTGGTGCGGTCATGCCGGGGCAGCGTGCGGCCTGCTAGCTCGACTGTAACATTGGGGATCATCGGATGAAGCCATGACTCCGCATTAAAGATAATGCTGCAGTTTCGTATAAAACTCATGGTGGCAATCCATAGCTCCAACTCGTCCGTTTTCTGGATAATGGCTCTGACGTTAGACAGAAAGAGGCTTGGTAGTGCTGGCCAATGCGGTTGTTTATGTAGCCTAGCTTCTGAGCCAGTCCTGCATCCCCTCTTTTGCTTTCTCTCCCTCCGCCTCCTTCTTCACCCACTGGGTGGACAGACCATCCACAGAGATCCCGCCAGTCTTGCTACATCCTCCTGGATGTTATGTTTCCGATGATAGTCGTCCGAGACACACAAACTGTATCTGAGACCCACATCAATTAAGTCCTGTCGACTGTAGGAGACTACGGCATTGCAAAAGTTCTTAGATGCACATAGCAACAATAAAAACAATAAAAACAATAAAAACAAGCACCAAACTGGAGAGCTTAGAGCCGCTGCACCTGTGCGTGCCGCCATCTTGTAGAGCAACTTTCTGCGTACCAGTGATATGTGGCTAATGATCGGTCAACTTTTGTGGTCTTCTCAAAGTAACACTTGAGATCCAGCCTCAACTTTAACACAATCAGACATTTACTTTTAAAGAAATCAACAAAAAATGTGCAAATATAAATGGTCATATCCAGATTTAAGTAAAGGCTGAAAAAGCCTGACAGAGACAAAACAAAACCAGCCTATTGTAAATATAACTATAGTTGGTCTAATTATGAGAGTAGTTTACACACACACACACACACACACACACACACACACACACACACACACACACACACACACACACACACACACACAAACAATTACCAAGCTTCCTGCTGTCAACAGTAACCCTGCCTCCCGTCGACAACCCTTTTGAAGAAATGAAATTGAGAAGCTGTTTTCTGCTTCTGGTCTCAATTATTGTCTGACTATCAGCAAACGGCCCGATCTGGCCCATCTCCTGCTCCCAAGTTTGTTCCTAAATTGGGGTTGCAGCGTATAAACAGCCTATCCAAACAGCTCTGCTGTTTTGGAATCAGGGATCTTCCTGGAGCTGCTTCTTTTTCACAGTGGTAATGTTTGCTGTCTATGGTAAAATGTCTTATGTCTGTTTAGTGGTGAGAGCTCTCATTGGCCATTTGTCTTTCTAGTAAACTTAATATCAAAACAACAAGAATGTATTTACTGGATGTGACTCCTGACTGTAATTATTCCAGGGAGACCGGATGGGGTCTTTCTGCTGTTTAACAGCCTACTTGGTCTGAAAAGGGGACAGCAGTAGCTCAGGAGGTAGAGCAGGATGTCCAGCAATCAGAAGGTTGTAGGTTCAATCCCGGCTCTGCACATAGAATTCTGCTGTTGTGTCTTTGGACAAGACACTTAACTCATCTGACTTGCTGGTGGCGGTCGGAGGGACAAGTGGCGCCTGTGCTCGGCAGCCTCGCCTCTGTCGGAGCCCCCCAGACTAATTATCTTCAAATTTAAAAGCTAAGTACGTAGCTATATGTAGTTAGCAGCTAACAAATGACTGACACCAGAATCTTCACCCAACGATATTTAATCACCATAACTCAAAGATACAGAAAAAGAAAAAATACATGACTGACTAATAAACACATCTTAGTGTCACACTTAGAGAGAATGAGATTTAGCTGCTGTTGAAGACAAAATAAAGATGGCACCTTTACATTTACTAACTTACAATGAATGATAAGAGATATGTGATGTAACCTAAAATGTTAGTAAAATGTAAGTAAAATGTAAGTAAAATGTTAGTAACCTAAAATTTGTAGTTTTTCTTTTTTATGAGGGCAGACACAACATATTAAGACTTAGACGATATCGATATGTTGAATATTGGTAAAAATAAAAGCCAATATCAAGCATCCCTACCAAGAACTCATCGTGGATAATGGAAAGATACCGCTCCTCTCTATGCTGCACCACTAATGCAGTTAAACAGCTGAAACACACAGGGAAGCTTATACCTTGCAGTGCTCACACCAAAATGCTGTAATCTGCCTTTTATTCTTCTCATGTGTAAACACAGATAATATTGACCTTTACTCTGACCTAAGGCCACTGATAATGCAAGCGTCCAGTCGACCATTGCTCAGCAGAAACTCAATCCAAAAGTGCCTTACCTTTAAAAGTTAGAGGGGAAATGAGGCTGAATACTAAATGTGAGAGCCAACGCTCTGCTGGCTTTGCCCCATCACTGCCATCTCATCTCATTGATTGGCCGTAGGTTCATAGACCTCTGAGAAAAAAGGCTTTTGCAGTAGTTAAAACAAAGTGTGCTCGAATCCAAGACTAAAGGATGAATTTGTGAACATTTTTGCGTAGCTCACCCAGTTTGAAGGCATACAATAAAAGCTGTCAACACCCATCAGGACAAAACACGGCAAAACATTTGAGCAATGCGTACGATTTAGTGCAAATAAATCAGCCTTATTTTGGGGTTGCATTTCAACTTGTCCCTAAGAATCAATCACTCGAACCCTCTGTGGGTATGAAAATGTACATTTTCTTTATGCTATTGAGTCCATGTTTGTTGGTCATGAACTCCTTCCAAAGTTGTTTGACATTTCTCACACATTTTGACTCATTGAAACTAAATAGAAAATGGTTTGAAAGCTTCCAGATGACTTTGTGACTACTTTTGAGAAAGAAATTTATTCTTTCAAATTCTTTGAACCTGTCCATAACTCAAGCACCACACGCTCACACAAAGAAAATAAGAACTATGATGGAAGCTTTTGAATCTCCACTAAAGTAGGATTTCAAATTTTCTTAAACAGTTTAAGCCCAGTGTGAAACTGGCTTCTTCTGCTTCAATCCATGTGCCATGCAGCGGCGGGTTACAGCGGTGCTTTGCCGTTATGTAGTCCCACGTCTAAATCGACTTTTCATTTGCAGTCGACATGATTATTGAGCTCACCAGGAATAGTTGGTATTATTATTGAGTAGTTTTCATCACCTTTGCACACAAAATGCTAACTTCTGCTGTTCACTTTCATTGTTTATGCTAAGGTAAACCAAAAAGACCGTGGCCAGACCCGGAGAATTACTGCACTGGTTACAAAATGCTTTTTTTTTCCACGTATCTAACTCTGGGGAATACGGAAATAGACAAAATGTTACTTGGGGGTGGAACATCCCTTTAAGAATTATTTTCAAACCGTAAATGTAAACTTTAAACTGTGTACAAAAACCTATGAATACAATTCCTGAAATAAATCAACTTTTTCATGAACGTTTTATGATCAGCACCTGTACACTCAGTATAAGCCAATGTTGTTTTTTTCACAGGTTCCTCTTCATAACACTTTTTTTTGTTCTGTTTGTCAAGGGTGATGCTTCCAAAACAGGTTCAGAGGTTGGCTCAGTTACACGAAGTATGGAGGATGTTAACGGCAGCAGGAAGGACTTATCTCCATCTGCAGGTGAGGTGTGCAGATCGACAGCACATCTTGGTGTTTCGTACTGCTGTAGCAAAGTTTTCCAGAATTTAGTTTACACACTGGGCTTCTTTAAAATGAAAACAAGGGTAATAAAGGTCTACAGTGTTCCCCATCTGTTGTAGACTTTTGGTTGTGTTCTGTCCACACTCAGTGGACACGTGGCCTTATGCACCAGCTCCCATCCCCTTTCATTACTTCTAACACAGGCACAAAAGCCAAATGGAAAGACTACTGTATGGAGTACAACTCCCAGACGTATTACATTATCTCTGCTCAGCCTCCTCTGTTGCTGAATTCAAAACTGCTTGCAAAGCTGGAAGGCCCATTTCTACATCTTTTGAGTTTCAGTTAAAGAATGAAGGAAAATGTAGCATTATCAAAGTTCTATGCCCCTTCCTGTGTCTTGCATTTGTGTTTCTGCCAAACATAATATTGTTGCCAACACATCCCATAAGATTAGGACTCTGTTGAAATGTTCATGTTTGTTCGATAACATACAAGACATCCATTTTAAAGTGCAGCTTCCCAAGAGAACCTCTAATGGCCCTTTTTGTCTGTACTTTGTGTTTTTGTTTACCTTTTTCTACCACTCTTAAATGTACTTTCTCTTGTTTCCCACCATCTTAACTTTACTAGTAGTGCCGGTAAACGGTCATGTAGAAATGAAGACCAGTCTGACTCCACCACTCATCACCCACACTGCTGCCACTCCCATGCCAGTGCCTAAGTTGCCTGTAACAGGTGACCCCATCCTGGGCTATGAGTCCCGGCAAAGCAGCAACATCTCCATAGATCCAAGCTGCTTTGACAAGTCACTGGTAGGTGCAGGTCTTACTATTTCTGTCTACAATAAGCATGGGGACAAATGTTTAAAGGAAAATGCACGATAACTGTTAAAAGTTTTCCTAAATAGGTTTTATGATGATGCATATATAATAGAATGGTTTAAAGAGTAATGTGATGGTTTACAAACAATTACACAGTTTTTAATTATCAATCAATTAATCAATCAATCAATACTTTATTAATCCCAGAGGGATATTAGAGTTTCAGTAAACACAATTCAGAGATCAGACATACATGGGCAAGACACATGACAAGAATTGGTGACTGTGGTCATTCGCAACCCGAGTCGCGCTACCTTAATAGAGATAAGAGGGTTACATGAGGATTGGTTCAGGTGGAGGAAAAAAAGGCACTTCAGAGCTACCCTCCACCAGCAGGGCAGCTTTGCTCTGAAAAAACAACAAAAAAAAAAAACACCTCAACAGATATGCAACAGACTTCAGACAACACAACGTAACACGACACTCCAATGGGGGGGGGGGGGGGGGGGATCCTGTGTCCCCCCGCGAGAGCAGCCATCTACGGCGCTCATCTACTGTACAGTCACAGGTGGGAGGGAGATCTTGGGAGAAGCAGAGTACATTGACTCCTGCAGATTGATGACCTCGCCAGGCTGAAGTCCACAATCCGAAGGCATGGGGGGGGGGGGGTTCTCAGCATCTGTCTGTATTCCTTCGTTGGGGTTTGTTGCTTGCCGCTCAAGGCTACCAGGGCGTCAGATTCAGATAACAAGAGTTTGTTTGGGTCAGGCTGAGATAATTTTCCTCTCTGCCTTCAGTCTTTAAACTGATCATTCCAGTCCTTCAGTGAAGCCAATTTTGGGTTTTTAAACCTGCCCATACCGCCCGGTGACTCTCTCCAAGATGACATCAATTTTGCGCACTAATACTGGTATTGCAGCTAGAACATTGTCCAGCTTACGATTCACCTCGAGTAACGTCCCAGTCTGGGAAGTCTCCACACAGACAGTGCTTTCCGTGGGTGCGGGTCACCCTCCAATCGCTCCCGTCTTCCCAAATTTCCAGAAAACCAGATATCCTCCCACTCCAATCAGGAGAAATCCAGTGATCATCAGGCCGAATATCCACACATCTTCGATATCCTCAATGGACAGCTGGCTGAGGCATATGATCTTCCACTCCTTCCAGGAATCCAGCATATATCCCACCGAGTGTGTCCCCTGTGGACATGTGGGAGCCCCCTGCTCCATTCTCATTGTTGAAAAAATCGTATCGATCGCATTGAATGACCAGTTTATCAAATCCATGGTCAGTAAAAATAGAGTTTTTCAGAAGAAATGCAGAGAAGTGCTCTGTGGGCAGACAGGACAAAGAGCCTTGGGAAAAAAGATAAGGGAGCGAAAGTGAAAAACGTCTGTACTCCTCGAGTGCCAGAAGGAACAAAGTAAATATATGTATGAAGGCTAAATTTAATCCCTGTAGATCTCACATGATCGAAAGGCGGATTGGTGCTACTGGTCTGTAGTGGTGAAGAGAAAGCTGAGCCTCAAGGCAAAGCTCATGATTTGCTGGTCCATCTATGTTCCTACCCTTACCTATGGTCACGAGCTTTGGGCAGTGACCAAAAGAATGAGATTGCGGATACAAGCGGCGGGAATTAGTTTTCTGCGCAGGGAGTCTGGGCTCTCCCTCAGAGGTAGGGTGAGAAGCTCGGTCATCCGGGAGGGACTCAAAGTAGGCCTGCTGCTCCTCCACATTGGCAGGAGCCAATTGAGGTGGCTCGGGCATCTAGTTTCGGTGCCTCCTGGACGCCTCCCTGGTGAGGTTTTCCGGGCATTTCCAACCGAGAGAAGGCCTAAAGAAAGACCCAGGGCACGCTGGAGAGACTTTGTCTCACGGCTGGCCAGGGAATACCTTGGGATTCCCCTGGAGGAGCTGGCTCAAGTAGCTGGGGAGAACGAAGTCTGGGCCTTCCTGCTAAGGCCAGTGGCCCCACAACCTGACCCCGGATAAGGGACCAATAATGGATAGATGGAAGTTAATCCCTAAAACCTGTTTCCTCAGAATTTATGGAGAAGGCTTGTCTAGGTCCAGCAGCACTAAGACCACCACTTGTGTCAGCCACCAGAAAAGAATTTGTTCAGAAACATCAGCTCACAGGTGTATGCCAATCTGCAGCTTAGTGAAGAGAAGATTTATAGAGGATGGTCTGGTTTCACAAAGAGCAGCAAAAAATACACTTCTCTCTATGGAAACCCACCAGGGATAGACTGATGTTCTTCTCAACGTCGAGAGAGTGGACCACTGAGGATTGGAGGAAAGTCCTTTTTCTCTGATGGATTCTCTTTCTGATTGTTTGGAGCTTTTAGAAAAAGAGTTGTCTGGGGAAGAAAAGGTCAGCACTCTGATCAGTCCTGTGTCCTGCCAACAGTAAAGCATTCTGAGACCATTTGTGTGCTTTTCAACTACAAGAATGGACTTTCACACTCAGTAGACTCAGAATAGGCTTGAATAAAGAAGGGTACTAAACATTCTCCTAGAGGAACTCCTTAACACCTTCAATCAACAAAAAATTGTTTGGTTATAAATAATGTCTTCTCCATAATGATGGAGCACTGGACTAGAAGGATAAAGAACTAATTGGCTTTTACATTTTTATCATACTTTGGTCCAGGTCCTGGAAAATTCACAGACTGTAATCCCATTGATAACTCATGCTGAATCTTTGAGAGGCAGGAGGAAAACCACAAACTACTAATTCTACAGCCAAACATCGGTGATAAATACCAGGCTGTCATCAATCAGGATCTGAACCAGCATTCCCTGATGAAGTGCAGAGGTCTAGAAAATAAATGACCTGTGCTGCTAATATGATCTATTCCGATAAACTCATTGCAGCTTTTAACCAAAAAAACCTGAAAACATGTGAATTCATATACTTGTAATTACACTCCAGGAAGGTTAGAAACATCTGGAAATAAGACCTCAACTTTGAAACTTTGTGAAAACCAGGAATTGAAGTAAATCTCTAAACTTTTCAGCATGGGTGTGATATAACCAGTACATAGGGTGTGAGAGAGCTAACTTTACCACAAATCTCTGCAAAAGTATTTTATTCTTTCCTGGTTTTGACTTTCTTTTGCCATCTTCCTTGTGCAGACCAGCACTCGCTCCTCCCCCCATCCCCCTTGGAGTTCTGGCAGTGGCCGGACCAGCCGTAGATCCAGCTGGAACAGCCTAGGTAGGGCACCGTCTTACAAACGTCAGAAACGGCAGTCTGGGGAGCGGCGCTCTCTCCTATCAGGTGAGGGTGACTCCAGCTCAAACGAGGAAGAAGGTGGTGGAGAGGAAGGGGATGGGCTGCTAGAGGGAGACGACACATCATTGCCCAGGACAAACTCCATGCCCCAGTCTCGGAGAGGGTCACGACACAGGAGGATGGAGTCTGTGGAGACTCGGAGCTCCTTGGATTTGCCCCCAGAAGCTTTGCTGCAGGTAGACCAGCTGTCAATTTATTTTGAGTAACCAAACATGGTCAGTTTGACATCTGAATCATCAGTATGCTACAGTAACATTGATGTCTGCCAAGTAGATAAAGGACATTTTTAACTACAACCCATTGTGAGCTAGGTTGTTGTAGGACTCATCTTGTCCTGCAATTAAAAAGATGTATCCCAAAATTTCTTACCCCTTTTTCCCCCACTTGCATAGGTGCCCTTCCCTTACCGCTCTGCCAGCATGCACAGCTCCAGACCCCCTTCTTTGGGCCACTTACGACCCCCAGAACACAGTGACTGTAACGGGAAGGGCTCTCCATCAGGTCTCACTCCAACAAACGTCTCCTTGGAGGAAAACACCGAAGACGAGAATGTGGAAGAGGAGGCCAACTTGGTCAGTCCATGTAAACACCTGAAATTATGTTTAGTCACAAAAAACGAACCTTTTATTAAATCCAGTGTAACCCCATAACATTAATCTAACACATTTTATAAGTGGCATGTGAAAAAGTGAGGCCATCTAATAATCTACTGCTTGTTGTAGCACCATCATCATCTTCTGTAAAACTATGAAATCAAATCAATAAGTGATTAAAATGCAGCAGTTTGTTGATACAGCATCAAATCAAACCCTCCCCCATCATGTGTACAGCTGTTGGGAGTAGTTTGTGCTGATGTGATGTGTACCGTTGTGGTGCTATGGCAGCTGAAATGCAGTTTTGTGATATATGCTGTTGTCTATAGAAAGGCCATTCACATGGGTCAAAGCAGTGTTGTTTTGGTTCATATAAGTGTATGATGTGTATGGTGTACTTAAGGCTTTCATGGTGTGTTCTTTTCACATTTATTGAGTTTGCATTGGGTTGAATTTTAAGACTTCACAGCATGTTGTAGTGCAGTTGTGTTACCAGTTGTGATACTGGTGTGTTTTGTTTTCACCCCTCACTTGTGTATCTGGGGTCCTTACAGTTGGGTAAAAAGGAGACCGCTGTCTAAGCTATTTTTTGAAGATGTGTTTGAAGGTTTTGAGGGCTGTAGTACACTAGCACTACACTAATAAGGGGAAACAGACTGGTTGAGGCGTCCAATATGAACGGTTCTGGTTAGAGAAGCAGGGAAATTAGAAGTTTTCTCAGCGAGTTTATTGAAGTTGAACTGGAACAGCAGGCTCATGTAACTGGAGAAAGATACGTGTGTAGATGTGAGACAAAGAGACTTCCATATGTTAAATAATACAACAAAATACCTAACTGACACACACTGCTAACTAAATATAAGTTTAAACCAACACTCATGTACCTGAAGGTATGTTAGCAGCTTAGCATGTGCGTCAAGACACTCATGTGGCTAGCTTTAGCATTAGTGGCTAGCAGCAATCATTAAACACTATTAAGATGCGCTAAAGAATAACAAATGCGGCTGATGAACTACCGAACATGTAAACATACTAATAAGCATGAATATAACATAAATATTCATCTTCATTACTTTTATATCCATCACACAGAACACACACAATGTTAAACCAGAAGTGTGTCCATCATAAAATAAGGCACGACTTGAAACACGGACCAAACATTAGTTCTGTCCGGCATATTATTAGTTCAGACACATCCGCCCCCAATTGTCTGTTAAGAGAATTGTCCATCCCTAGAAAGACTGTTTTAGGCAACATCACCTCCCTCCTAGAGATGAGGAAGAGGAATCAGTCTGACAACAGGACGGGTGTAGGGTTTCCCCTTTACCTGCACCACAGCTGAACGTACTCTACCATCTGTGGTAGGGAAGACCTCTGAAACAATACCCACAGGCCTGGACGATTGTGGGAATTGTGGATCCATAATGAGGACAACCTCGCCAACAGTAAGCTCCCTTCCGTCGATCTTCCACTTCTGACATTCTTGCAGACATGGAAGGTACTGTCGGATGAATGACGACCAGAAGTTGTCAGCCAGCAGCGGGCTCTTCCTTCACCGACGTTTCCAGAGTAGGTCTTTGCTGTTGTACAGGGCTTGTGGTAGTGACAAATCTCTGTGACTCATTAGCAACACGTTAGGGGTTATAGGGTCGAGATCTGCTACATCTGCAGAGATGTACCCCAAAGGTTTTGAGTTCAGAATTCCTTCCACCTCAGTGAGCAGGATCTGCAGCACAGACTCTGGAACAAGCTGATCTCGTAGTTCTTGATGGACCTAATTTCTCTCCCTGGTCCCTCCAAAGTGATGAGCAGCAGGAGAATTGAACTGGAACCGAATCTTCTGCTCAGCCAGCTGCTCCTGCAGCTGAGGACTCTTAGACTCAAAGGCTTCTTGTAGGTCATGAAAACCACCAGTACAAATGGTGTCGTTGTTGCGTAGGACCTCAAATGACTTTCTGGCGATAAACCTGTGTCAGGGCAACACTCAGAACTGATGTTAAAGGCTCTTATTCTGAAGGATTGAAGGAAGTTGTCTGAGTGACACTGATGTCTTGATGGTATTGCTGTGGTAAAGCCTTCAGCGCTGCCGCTGTTAATTTTTCCATACAGAACAACAAAACCAGCACCATCAATGAAGAACCCAGAACATACTAGCAGTGTAGTACCCAAAAACATCATGTAGACGATTTTTGGTCCTATTTCAAAACCAAATATTAAAACAATGTTACACTTTTTAGGCAAATACAGGCTCATAATAACAAATCAAATCAAATCACTTTTATTGTCACGTCACATGTGCAGGTAGACCTTGGCTGCTCTGCTGTTCCATCACAAGAGAGAGGGATGTCCAGGAGGGGGAGGACCTAACCTTACCTGGATGTCCTATGTCTTATATATTCTGGAAGTTGTGCAAATGCAGGGATGGGAGTAGATATTCTGCTGGGGTGGGGCTGGGTTGTGCCCTCAGACTCCGTGAGGCTCTGTGATGCTGCTGCTTTGGGCCCTGGCAAGATGGTCTGGGGTTTCCATGCCCTGGGTGGTATTTTGGCAAAGGAAGTGCTTATTGGGGCCAGTGGGGGAGCTGGCTCCCTGGAGGGCTTAAGTCCAACCAGCCATTCCTTCCCATCCCCGCATATTTTTCTCCTCCTGCTCCCTCACATCATCACACAGTCATGCACATATGACCTTGGGGGGTGGACAAGTCAGGGGGGGTGCGGGTATGGACCCCATTTCTGCATTCCTGTGGCAACCTGCCCCCCAATTTTATTTGCACCTTAAACACTTCCACCAGCGACATTCCACGCAAACACACACTCAGGGCCTTGGGAGTGAACACATTCAACGGCAGTTGGCAGGGGGATATCTCAGCCTCATCCCGAGTGCCGGTGCCCACTTCCAATTTTAAACTGCGTTTAGACACAGAGGGCTATGGGTGCAAGTGGGGTGGCGTGGTGGCATCAGCTGGCGTAGGCCAGACAATGCCCACACTGCCCGCTCACTACAGCCATGGAATACACCTCATCAACACGCACTTACACTATATTGGAGAAGACGGAGGGAGACTAGGGGTCTTAGCACACCTCTGTTGTCGCTTGGCTTCCTGGGGCTGGAGGCTAGGAGGGAGATCTGGCTGTCTGGTTGGGGTCTGGGGTGGTGGGTTGCTTTACTCAGCGTTGGGCAGGGGAGCCTGCTCATCAGCACCCCAGCAGAAAGGGTCGAATTCTGGGAATCTGTAATGGTTGTACCCCATGCGCAGCAGTACCGGAACCAGAGTGAATTGGGTGTGTATGGGGAGCATGAGTGGGTGTCCAGCGTGCATTTTTGTAAGTCTTGGGTTGTATGTGTATGCATGATCATGAGGGAGGGAGTGTGTGACTGTGTCTGTGTGTGACTGTATATGTCAGGTGGGGCCTTGACTCCTCCCTTCTCCTGGGACTTCTTTTGATGCTATACATCTTTGTCTCCCCTCCCCCTGCAACACCTGGTGTGGAGTGCAGTGCATTGGTCGTCCTGAGTGTTCGTGGGTTCCTGGTCAGGGGGCTTAAGATTTTTGGCATCTGCCTGATCAACCTTGGTGGCTGCCTGGTGGGACCTGGGTTCCTGGGCTCTGCTGGGTCCCCAGCGGGGGTGGATGCTGGGTCCCGGGCTCAGCTGGCTGGGGGGTGGGAGGCTGTGGGCGGGCCTGTGGGCTTGCCGCTGATAGCTCCCGGGACTTTGCTGGCTGCTGGTTGTGGCCCCCCGGGCAATCCTCTGCGCCTTTCGGAGGGAGGGGTTGTGGTGGTGGTGGGTTCTGGTCGCAGTCTCCTTGGGGTCCCTGTGCTCTGGGGCAGCTCCTGGATCTCTGGGACTTGGAGCTCCCTCCATTTCCTACACATCTTTGAGGGGCTCTCTATTGGACGCTTCTGTAGAGAAACCTTACATATACAAGCGAGTGTACGCACACAGGTGCTCACATGGTGCTCTCATAAGTATGGACTTGGGCGCGTTCAACACATGTCTTTAGGCTGTTGTGGGCAATAAATGCACTGTGATTTATTTTTGTCTGATTGTTCAATAAATCAATTTTGATTTTACAAGGGGGGGGGGGGGGGGGGCCTGGTAAGACAAATGTTTCCGTTTCATTCCTTTATGAATGCTCTTATTGTCAGGAGAAAGAGAATAGCCTGATAAGGACCTTCAAACATGACCTTCCCATGATTGCTGCTCATTTGGCATTTTGTTAACACACAACTGTATGCTCCAGTTGAACAAACAGGAAAAATGTCATGCTTTTGCGTTTAATCTTCAGAAAGCATGTTTCAGTCACCGCTTTTCCATTTAGGCTTCATTTTTCTTTTTAATGCAGATTTTGAATCACAACAACAAAATGTTGTCATTTTGTAATTGCACACATCCACTCAGACCTTGTTCTTTTTTACTGAAGGGTCGTTTTGCCAGGATTCTCCAGTGGATGGAGAAAAAACAACCAGAATGGTGTCGGCAAAGAGACACGTGGTCACTCTATCTGTTCCCTCAAGAGTCCAGGTAATACTCAGCCTCTACCTCTGTAGGGACGTTTGTTGGTTTTTATCTGTATCACAGGCTTTAACGCCTATTTCACCTCTTATCTTATCACCTTTTTATCTGCTCACTTTTGTTAATCACGGGTGAGTAAGCATCGGGAAACAGAGGTGGGGAGATTTTTCAGCTGCATGGATATATATGCATATATATATATATATATATATATATATATATATATATATATATATAATGCATTGAACTTATATAGCGCTTTTCTAGACACCTAAAGACGCTTTTCACGCACTCTCACATTCACACACTGCTAGTGATGGTAAGCTACTTGTAGCCACAGCCGCCCTGGGGAGGTCTGACAGAGGCGAGGCTGCCATTTGGCGCCGTCGGCCCCTCTGACCACCACTAACACAGGCAAGTTGGGTGAAGTGTCTTGCCCAAGGACACAACAGCAGGATACCCCTGGCGGGAGCTGGAATCGAACCCATGACCCTCTGATCTTGAGGCAACCCGCTCTACCACCTGAGCTACTGCTGCCCCATATATATATATATATATATATATATATATATATATATATATATATATATATATATATATATATATATATATATGTTCAGAGGAGAAGGATTTCTACTCTTAAAAATTACTCTCATGCTGATTTATTTAGGGTTTATGTTGGTGGCCCCAGTCAGGACTGAGTCATGGTTGCGACTAACCGACTGACTTTAGTGATGTAGTAGGTGTAAAATATTGAATACAATGTTGAGCTACATGACTAGCTTTATGACCTGCTTATTTACAAGTGGATCTCCAAAATTTTATCCAAGTGTATTATGGATAAAACTCGTCACCAGCCATTCACCAACATCATCATCATCACTTGTCAACAGATAGCAAACTCAGTGGCTAACGGAGAAGAAGAACTTGATTTGATCGCAGGGATTATTTCAGTTCTATTTTCAAGACGTGCTTTTTCAGAGAAGCTGATCATCATTACGAGAGTCCGCCCAAACCTGTCAATGTTTTGTCTCAGCCAGAGGAGACTCTCAGCCTGGGCCGTAGAAGAGGGCTTACTGATGAAACTAAAACGCAGAGACAGTGTTATGACAAAGCTATTGAAGTCTTGCTGTGCAGAGAGGAGGTTGGTTTTCCATCCATTTTCAATTGCTTATCCAGAGTCGGGTGGCGGGGGCAGCAGCCTAATGGGCTCGACACACGGGAGGCGACAAACGACCGCGATCAGCGAAATTTGTCGCTGTCGCTTTTATTACCTGACACACGGGAGGCGACCCGCGGCAGCGGCCAGCGGCAAAGCCGTCTACGCGTTCTGTTCCATGGCGAAATTGAAACTTCCGTTATTTTGTTTGGCTGTGTCAGGTTGGAGGGAATTAAGGTTATTTAAGCGGTTCGGAGTTAATAAAGCTGTAAACATAATGTTTCACAAGGTTCTGCTGGAGTTATGTGAAATCTTACTTCTGATTTTTCTATAAAACACAATAATAATCAACTTCTCCTTCATGTTTGCTTGGAGGTGTGCGGAGCATCCTGTCCGCTCATTGGTCAGTGAATGAAACCTCCACTGATTGGTCCTCGTCCGAGCGACAGCGATGAAAAGTTGAAAATATTTCAACTTTCTGGGATCGCGTCGCTGGGTCGCCTGTGCACGACACGTGCATGAGCACAAAATTTCACACGCACGTTTTTCGCGTTTCGCTTGGTAGGAGGGAGACCCGCGATTATCGCTTTGTCACGCATGTCTCATTGAAAATGAATGGAGGAGAGGCGATGTCGCCTCCCGTGTGTCGAGTCCATAAGTTAGGAGGCCCAGACTTCCCTGTCCCCGGCTACTTGGACCAGCTCTTCCGGGTGAATCCCAAGGCATTCCCTGGACAGCCGGGCGACATAGTCCCTTCGGCGTGTCCTGGGTCTTCCCTTGGGTCTCCTCCCAGTTGAATGTGCCCGGAAAACCTCACCAGGGTGGCATCCAGGGGGTATCCTGACCAGATGCCCAAGCCACCTAAACTGGCTCCTCTTGACGCGGAGAAGCAGCGGGTCTACTCTGCCCCCCTCCCGGATGACCAAGCTTCTCATCTTATCTCCAAGGGAGAGACCAGACACCCTGCAGAGAAAACTCATTTTGGTGTTCACAATCTTGTTCTTTCGGTCACTTCCCAAAGTCCGTGACCATAGGTGAGGGTAGGAATGTAGATCGACTGGTAAATTGAGGGCTTTGCCTTCTGGCTCAGCTCTCTCTTCACCGCGACAGACCGGTACAATGCCCGTATCACTGCAGATGCAGCACCAATCTGCCTATCAATCTCACGCTCCAGTTTTCCCTCACTCATGAACAAGACCCCGAGATACTTAAACTCCTCCACTGGAGGCAGGACCTCATCCCTGACCCAGAGAAGGCATTCTACCCCTGACCCAGAGAAGGCATTCTACCCTTTTCCGTCTCAAGACCGTGGTCTCAGATTTAAAGGAGCTGATACTTATCCCAGCCGCTTCACACTCGGCTGCAAACCGCTCCAGTGAAAGCTGGAGATCACTGTCCGATGAAGCCAACAGGACCAGATGATTTTCAAAAAGCAGAGACTCTATCCTTTGGCCACTAAAGCGCATGCCCTGAGCACCTTGGCTGCACCTAGAAATCCTTTCTATAAAAGTTAGGAACAGAATCCATTATAAAGGGCAGCAATGGTGGAGTCCAACTCTCACTGGAAACAACTTACTGCCAGCAGTGTGGACCAAGCTCCTGCACCGGTCATCCAGGGACCTAAAAGCCACTATCAGAGGACCTGGTACCCCCATACTCCTGAAGTACCACCCAGGTCTAGATTTGCATCTAATGCATAGCTGTCAAGTTCACGTTTTAGCCGGGTAACTTGCATATTGTAACCTTCTTTTCCATCATCTTCCCAAATAAGCGTTTTTCCCATAATGTTCAGTGAAATAATCCTTCCTCTCCGATCTGGACTCCATCACTTTAGCTTCACGAGCACAGGCAAAAATAATATAGCCCGCCTTTCGCCTTTAAATCCACAAACCACAGATGCATTTTTTGGGAAGTATGAAACAATCTTTGGTTGATATTTTCATCAGATATGCCAGCTGTCATTCAGCGACAGCTGTCGTGGTGCTGGGAAAGTCCAAAGGTCAGTAAATACCATCACAGGGAGGGAAAACACTTGTCAGAATCTTTTCTCCTGAGCTTCACAGCATTTAGATGTGAATTTTTCAAATGTAAGGCCGGAAATAAAGTGTTATTTGTGCTCCAGCAAGGAGTGACGGTTGTTTTTCAGCAGTTTTTTTAGGTGTGTTTTGAGGGATAACCGTTTGATGTTCAAATCCAGCTCTTTGTCCTTCAAACCTCTGAGGAGCAGACTCAAATGTGAATCTCACTTCTCTGCCGCTGCACTGAGGCTCTGGGATGCAAATACCAAAGACAAAAATAGCCCTTGAAGTTCTTCTAATGTCTGAAAAGCCACAGTTAGGCCACACACGCTCGTGCAGACTCAAGGAGTGGTGACACAATCACGTCTGTGCTGCCAAATAGAGCCAAAAATCCAGATCTGAGCCTCGTAATACCGTCCCCCCGCTGCACACTTAGACCCACATGAGCCTTCAAAGCTGAGCTGATTCACAGTTTAATCCATACCACCACCATATATAACAAGCAGTTGTGAAATAAAACCCAAGAAGCCTTTTCATGTCAGCTAATAAGCGTCAGACATAATTAATGGTGAACGTACAGCGGCTCATTACCGAGTTACTGTACACGACACAAGACATCTTAGTTTGAATATAAGCCTGCTGATTACTCTAAAGCACCTTAAATGAGACATGTCTTGATTTGGATTGTATTGCCATTTTATTCCTCCACACCCACATTAAGTTTGACTGACACAAATGAAACAGATGAAATCACAAGTTCTGCAAAGCAAAACAGGCTGCGGTCCAAACAGTTAGGGCAGCAGAAGGTAAAGAGACCTATCAGCAGATCTCACTTTTTGCATCCTTTTGTTCTGCCATGTGGGTTTCTACTGCTTCTATCGCGTCATACCCCTGTCAAAACCCGTGCACGCGCATTGGGTCCACAGCGCGCGTGTGAACGGGACTCGCGAGCGAAAATATACATGGCAGCGCGCGTGTGAACGGGACTCGCGAGCGGAAATATACATGGCGAGAGGTCATTTGTGCACTGAGAGGGAGCAAACTGTGTCTGTGAGCGCACAAGGATGTGCACAAGTGACAAACCTGCGTGCGCGCGTTGTCAACGAGCACACGGCAGAGGAAAACGTGCGCGCGCGGCAGCCTCTGTGCGCGCTCGGCAGCCTCTCTGCGCGCTCGGTTTCTGACTCCTGCTCGCTCGGCTGTAAGGGTTTTGGCACTCTGGAGGCGTGGCCTGTGGCAGATCTCCTCTGTCCTCTGATTGGTTAGTGTACCCCGCACTTTACCCTCTACCTATCTATATAAAAAAGTCTACTAGTCAAGTAGTTGCTGGCATAGCTCAGTTGGAAGAGCGGGTGACTCTCGCCCCGGAGGATCCAGGTTCGAGGCCGGGCAAGGAAAATGTAGTAGATGTCATGTTAATTTTTCTTAATTTCAGGTATTTTACAGTTGTGACCGTTCAACTGTCATTAAACGTCCGAATGTTTGCTGGGCAGTGTTTTAAAAAGTGCACATAAGCTAGATGGTTTTAACCATATAAAATTACATTTTTTGTGATACTGGAAAAATACATACTGAAATAAAACTACTGATTGAAAACTTTATGACTGTGGTTGTACAATATATGACTCACTAATACACTGCAAACTCCCTTAGAGTGGGGCTTCCAGAGAGAGAGAGAGAGAGAGAGAGAGAGAGAGAGAGAGAGAGAGAGAGAGAGAGAGAGAGAGACAGAGAGAGAAAAGTTCTTGCCTCATTAATGAATTGTTTATTTTTTTCAGTATTTAATTGACAAATTATCCTTTCAAATAATTAATTGATGAGTTACATAATTG